GTTTCAGCTTCCACTTTTGATACTGACAGACAAGAGTGGAAACTAATGCTCATAGTGAGACAGTTATAGAATTCCCATTACTTTGTCTATTTTTATGCTATAGATAAAGAGAGGAGAGATTGAGAGAGAGAGATTGAGAGGATTTTGAAAAAATCCACCATGCTAATTTTTACACCACTATTGTCACTTTCTCAGTATTGCCTGCTTTTCGAAACATATCCAGTTTGGGGGATCTGAAACAGGCCAGTGTTTAGATCAGCAATCTGACTCCAGTTACACGGGGTCGGATTAATTTCACCCATAGTCATATATCGGTTTCATTTCCTTGGTCTGGGGAAGGACCCCTTCTCATGAACAGCAGTGCAAATCAGGCTTCAATTGTTAAGTCAGAGTCATGGGAAACCTTGCATTGGACATAGCATGGCTTTGTGACTGTGTTGCTCTTTTTGCCTCGGAAATAGAAATCCAGCATCAAGACATGTATAATTCCATATTTCATGAAGCTCTTGCTTGGGCAGCTTTTCTTCACTGGTTATTCTGCACTGAATGAAGTCTAATTACATACAACTTCATTTGCTCACTTGATTCCTCTGGCTCTTTGGCCTCACTTCTCCCATTGTTTCATGCCTCTCAAAATTTAGCGGGTGATCTGTTTGCAGCAGAGACCTCTCTTTTGTTCTTTTACTTAAGTTGTAAAGGGTATAACAAATCAGACACATTGGTGGCACTATATAAAAATGATAATGCTGCTACTCAAGCAACCATGGGTTAAAAAAAAAAAAAAGAATCACACCAGCGAAACATTCCCATTTCTTCCTCTTTTAGCCAAAACAACTCAAAGCACTGTATTCCTATGTGAGTTGATCTAGAATCAGTTGTGATGTAGTAATTCATCGTATGAAAAAAATATGATTATTGGAAGCACTTCCAAGAAATACATATCTATCACTTTTCAAACACAAAAGGAGAGAGTTTGAGTAAATGCTTATAACAGCAATTGAAGCACCTCAATTGAAGCATGTTATTCCCAGCTATATCCGGCTTATGAAACTAAAGTGAGTAACCCTTAACCATTTGCTCACCCATGAGCAAGATGATAATGAAATAACTTTATATTAGTCAGCATAACTCATTAAAGTATGACTATAACATTAAAGTTACTGTCAAGGAAAGGGATGGAAAGTGATCAAACATGGATTAATGGGGGACACCGTGGAGATATATCTGCTGTAAACTTGTACATCTGTTTTGGGCAGTGGTTTTCTGGATTAGTGATGTGGAAATTCATGCAGATTAGCTCAGACAGTTAAATCCAATGGCAGACATTTTTTCCTTAAAATCCAACAGCACCCTAACACCATCTTTAGACAGAATAAATCACTCATACAATGTAGAAAGATCAGTGCTCACTTCAAGGGTAGCCCATGTGCAAGTCCCACTGTTTTTAATGGTATTTATTTCTGGGAAGGCATGCACAAGATTGCCGCCTTCCATAAAGCACTTGGTTGTGTGGTTTTGAACAAACTGGTCTGAAATTTAGGGAGTTGTAATCAATAAAATACAACATACTTCCTTTTATAGGATCTAGTAAAACTTGAGCAAAACAAAACAGAAAAGTGAAATCTTGCCTACAGTTATGTAATGAGTGATTATTTACTCCAATGCTTGGTTTACATCTGGCTTTAAAAAGGAAAATCACAGAATTTTGATCAGAAAATATGAATGACAGGATCATACTTAGCAGGGTAATTTCCAGGCATAGATTAGTCTGGAAATTGCAGGCATGGGATTTGGCCCCTGAGCACTTTGCTAACAATTTAGGGCATGATTCTATGCATGTTTAGATAGAAAAATGCCCTGTATGGGGAATGCTGAAAACATGTTTCTGCCTGAACATACACAGGATTGTAACCTGAGTTAGTTTATACTTTGCAGTCTCTTTCTCCAGGTTGAGATGTAAGAAATGCAACCATTTTGAGAATGAAATCCCATAGATGGCTGTGCAAGCTATTACCTTTCAGCCAGATTCTGAACTTATTGATGAAGAAATAAATGAGTCTCATTGAGTGTGGATATTTACAAATGCAGGCTGGGAGGCTATCAAGAAGATGATTTCTTCAGTGCCTGGAATAGTACACAAGTTAAGGATTTAAAGTAAATTTAAAATGGATGTTGATGATGTCCTGGGCTGAGGCAACATGAAACACACTGAATAGCTCTCTGCTTCATTTTGAAAGAAATTTGTCACTGAAATGGGCAATGACTTGCAAAGTTTTCCCTTGACTTGCATTGTATCTACATGTATGGCAACAATACACTATCAATGTACCCAGCACATTATAGCGTAACATAAGCACGGTCTCAATCATTTTTCAAGCTATTACATTACATCAAGAATCAATTTCTTCTTGATTTCAAGAAATACTAAGACTCTCCAGTGGCAATCCCTTACCTGCTTACCTGAAAATAAGACCCATTAAACTGGGTGGGTATAACTTCCAAGGAGATAAGTACAGACATGTGCCATCAGTGATAAAACCAGAAATGGCAACATAGGTTCCCATAAGAAAATCCAGACATGCTGCACTGAAATGAAGACAGATTGTACATTCACTGTGTTTTGTTCTTGTCGATTATGGCTTTTTGTTTGTTTTTTGGGAACACCATACCAAGACAAAATGAGAACAAAACCCTGTAGGCACTATCGGATAAGTTAAAACATCTTTATATCCCAGGTCCAATAGGACACATGTTCACTTCTCTTCTCAAACTTGACTGTATTTTTTTGTAAATGTCTTTTACAATTCATTTAACGCAGGCAAACGTCATACTCACTTACATTTCTGATTTTTTTGTAAGGGAAAAAATAATTTGGGACATTAACCCTTTTCTAATATTCTGTTTTGTACAATTCACAGATCCTGTGAAAGCCAAACATTTTTCAGCAATGAATCACAAACAGGGATTTTAGGTTTGGTGCCTCTTTGTCAAAACTAATATCTATTAGACTGCAGCACTAAAATTAACCATAACTGATTAGATCATATGGAGCAATTGAAATCCAAAGAGTGCCTGTTCACAAACAATATGCTTACAGGGTCTTTTGAAAGGGAGCTCCAAGTGCAACTAACCCCCTTTTACGCCAAAGAACTACCTGGGATTTCACCTAGTAAGAACACTCTTTGTAGTAGATTGTATCATGAAAGACAGTGGGGCACTTCACTGATTCGGCGGGCACTCCATCTTTCCTCCAGGGAGTTCCAGATCTGGCTCTCTCCTATCCTAACTTTGCAACAACCCTGTGAGGCAGTTTAGCCGAGAGAGAGTGATTTGTCCAAGATCACTCAATGCACTTCAGAGACAAATTCAGTCATCCTGGTCCATTTCCAGCCTTTATCTGTTTATTTCTTCAATACATTTCTATACCACCTCTTTAGCCCATAGGACTCTCTGGGCAGTTTACAATGATAGTAAATAAAATGATTTAAGACAAATAAAAACAATTTAAAAGAGTAAAACATCATAATACAAATTATGATATGTAAGCTGCCACGGGAATACAAATGAGCTGGAAGAGGACTTGGATTTCTGAAGTCAAAGATCTACAGTCTTTTCCTCCTGCCATGCCAGTACTGCCCAGCTCCAAGACCTATTCTGAATAACACCATCTGATTCTCCTTACTACATTTATCTGGTCCAACTTCATCATCGATGCTTCCTGCTTCTGCATCCCCTCCACACATTTGTCCACCTCAAGTCAAGTCCAGACACACATGCGTACACACACTCAGACTGTTTTGTTCCCGGCTATTGAATCCAGAATCATTGTTAGCTTTTATGTTCCATACCCTTTATGTTCAGCATCAGTCTAAAACAAATCAACTGTACTTCACCTTCCAGCATGAATCAAATGGGTGGATCCAGGTTTTAGCCATTTTTTTAACCAATCATCTTGGAAATTCAGAAGTAAGGTGGAAGGAAATGACTAACACATTTTAAATCCTAAGACTTTTTTCAGGCTAAACATGCATAGGATTGGACCCTCAAAGTAATACCAACTGAATTTCTGAGCATGTTCTCTTCCTCCTAAACTTGGGAGAGGGGTACTTTTAATACGTCTGAAGTTTGCCTTCCCCAGTGAGTGTTGCCTTGTTCCAGATTCCTGATGAGGCCAAGAGGATTATTGAGTGCCAATGAATAAAAGAGAGAAATAAGGGGTGGGGTGCTTCCTCGTTGATCTGCACACCCCCGCATTACCACCAGACCTTCCCGCTGGCTGCTGTGCTTTTTTCCCTGGGGGACTGCTAGCATGAGTGGTAGAACTTAGCATAGTAATTGGTTCATTTAGGGACAGCGGCTCATTCCGGAAAAGCCAGTTATTTCCCTAGCATGTTGAGAAATGTTCATCAATCTAGTCATTTTCTGTAAGGACATCTCCAGCACGCTGCTAGTTTAGGAGACTTTGGGGAGGACTTGGTGGTGAGGTGCCCAGCATCCATCCACATATCCTGTCTAGACTGTCCAAAGCACACGTTGCCGAGGGCAGACCTGCTCCCCCGCGTACCTGAGCATGTGGCATTTTCTCAGGTGGACGGAATGAGTTGCCATTCCCTGGTACACAACAGTGCCCTGACCTCATTTTGAGAAGTTACAGTCCCCTGTTCCGCCTCTGAAGAATATATTGACCAAACCGTTTCTTTCTTCCTCTCTGGTGGACCAGCTCAAAGCCCGACAACTTTTAAGCAGATTTTGCATGTCTGCCTTATTGGAAGTACGCATGCCCCACCTTTCCAACGAGTGTGCTTTGCTCAGAGCATCTTACCAGCGTTCGCAGCCTTTCCCCAAAGATGCACAAGAGCCAAAATCACCCGCAAACGGCCGATGGAAACACAGACTTGCGAGAGCCGCTCCCCCTCCCGCTTCCAGTTTGCCCAAACCAAAGTTTGCCGAAGTCCTGTTTCCACCGCCGCCTGAGACGCGGGCCGCCCGGAGGCTCTTACCGGTGCAGGAGTGCAGAGGTTTGGGTCTCACGATGAGGGAAGGGCAGACGGAGTAGAGCGAAAGCTTCTCGAAGTAATCGCACGTCTCCTTGGAGAGGATCTCGTCGATCATGAAAGTCTTGTAGCGCCGCCTGGCTGCTTTGAGCTGGCCGGGGGAAGCCAGCCTGACCTCGGCTTGGCAGTGCATGGCTGGCTGCGCTGCGGACGAGCGCCGACCCCCGGAGGACGGGCCGGGGGGAGGGCCGGGGAGGGAGCGCGCTCGGCCCACGGGCAGGGACCGGAGCGGGCGAGCGGAGCCGGGGGCCGGCCAGGCGCGGGAGCTCAGCCACAGGCGGCCACGCAGAGCCGGGGATCTCGCCAGCCCGTCGCGGCTGCCTTGTGGAGGCGAGCGCCTGCTCGCTCGCCCGCCCGCCTGCCCGCCCGCCTGCCCGCCCGCCGCGATCGCTCTCTCTCTCTCTTCCGCTCTCCCCCACCTCCAGCCTCTATATAAGCCGCGCACCAGCCCGCGGAGGACACTGCGGCTGTCAATCAAGCGCTCATCCTCCCCATCAGCGCCCCATTGTTAGATCGCGGGCTGCGCCGCCGAGAGTCATTTCTCTATTTTAAGATCGCGGGGTGTGGAGCGCCTCCCTCCTCCCCGCATTGGAAGGGGGCCAGCGCGCTGGGGCCGGGCCGGGCCGGGCCGGGCCGGGCCGAGCCGAGCCGAGCCGAGCCGGGGAGGGCGTCCGCTGCGGGTGCGCGCCCCGCCTCGCCAGCTCCTCCTCCGGCTCTGCCTCCGCGCCAGGCTCGGAGCTGCGAGGAAGCAGCCCGCGCGCCTCTGCCTCCGGCGGGCGGCGGGGACCGCGCTCCCTCCAGCCGCCTCCCCGCGAGGGAGCGCGGCAGCCGCAGCCGAGGTGCCCGGCGCAGCCACGGCGCAGCACCCGGGCGCCTCCGCGGCCCTCCCGGGCTTTCCGCAGGTGGGAATCCCCACGCCACTCGCCTGGCGGCCGGGCGGCGCCGAGATCCGCGCTGGAGGCCGCGCTCCTGGGACAGCGGCTGGGGAGCGGAGGGGAGGGCAGGGGAAGGGCGAGGCCCCCCGGGCACTCGAATTGCCTGCCAGGTGAACGCGCGCCCTCGAACTGCCCGCACGGGGCTTCGGCACCCGCATTGTGCGCGCTCACCTAACGAGCCTCCCGCACCTGCTGCTTTCTGCGGGGCTTGCTTCTGCAAAATGCCCGCCTGACGCATCCTTGCCCGGACAGCAGCGTGGCGCTGGGAGTCTGGTCAAGCACAGGCCGTGGCCTGTATATAAAGCGGCAGCAACGACGCTAGCTTGAAATAGTACCATCATTTTCACCTGGGAATTATCGGATACATTGTTTAGGCACACTCACAAGGCCGAGATCGGCTGTGCTGTAGGGTTAAGACTGGGACTCGGGCCATCTGGATTCCGGTCTCCACTGGGCCATGGAGCCAACTGGGCGATAAGACTGAGAGCAGGAGGAGTGTGATGTAAGCCGCTTTGGTTTGTTGTAAGATCAAAGCGGGATATAAATCTAATAAATAAATACACAATGAAAGGATCAGACGATGCAGAGACAGCTCTTGGGCAACCGGTTGTTCCTCAACGGCTTCCCTTGTCGCAGGAGGGCTTATAGGGCAATCCTGTGTGTATGTACTCAGACGTAAGTCCTAATGAGTCCCGCGGAGCTTAATGCAGGAGCATAGACTTGCGGCCATAGGACTAGACATTCCCCCCCCCCCAAAAAAGCTCGCTTTCGCCCCACCCGTCCCTGCAGTTGGATTAAAAGCAGAGGAGATGCAAAAGTTCTCACAGCAAGCACGCCTTGCCGACTCTGGGCAAAGCCGATCTCCCTGGACCGGGTCTCGGGCGCCGCGGCCGAGCTTCTCGGCAGTCCCGCTGGACGAGCCGCGGGGGAGAACGAGGCCGGCCCGAGCAACCGCGCCACCGGCTCACGGGTCCTGCTCAGCCCGCCTTTCCTCCCAGGGGAGGGCAGGGCGGTGCACGGCATCCCTCAGCCCTAACCAAAAACCTCAGCCACGAAGCAGGCAACTTTTGTTCGGTGCTCCCCGGCTTTACGCTCTCGCCCCCTTCGGAGCTCGAGCGCCGCAAGCGCCCGCGGGCTCCGCAGGATCCCTGGCCCCGCGTCCGCACTTGCTCTGACTGGCTCTCGGTCCGCGCCCTTTCCCCCGCTCCCTCCGGGCCTTGGATATATCGATGCCTTTTCAGCGAGAAGGAACGCTTTCCCCTCCACCTCGCTGTCTTTACGCAGTATTTTTCGGTGCGGGTGTCTTGGGGCTGCCCGGGAATCGAGAGGTTAAACCCGGGAACGGGGGAGGGGGGGCGCTCCCCCTTGACTGAACAGTCACTGTTTTTCCTTCTCTTTAAGTTGCACCCCGGTTCGCGATTTCCACCTCTTCCCGGGCACACCAGCCAGGCCCCTTCGGTTGCTTTCCCAATCGAAACACACCTTGTTCTGTAGCAAGACTTAAGCTCCCGTGCCAAGACTTCTAACATACATTATGGTTATCACCTAATAATTATTTCGCTTTAAATAAGTAATGAATTAATTTTCGACCGCCACTCAGAAGAGTTCTTTTGGGCTGCCATCCCATGCACACGTACCTGGGAGTAATCCCAAGGTAACCAAATAGGAGTAGACAAACATAGGATCACATATTTAGCGAACCAATGGACTTCTCTTCTTAGACTTCCCTAAGGAATTATCCGATGACTTTTTGTCATCCTACATATTTCCTTCCGTTTTGGGTGTTCTGTTGTTGTTGTTGTTGTTGTTTCTGAACTGCACCCTTCCTCACCTGTTAAGACTGCGCTCTTTTCTGGGAATATGACCAATTCCTTATAGCATCGTGCTGCAATGAAGCCGGCTGTATATAAGGTCCTTCTGAGCAGAGCAGGGCTTTCTGGAGAGGGAACCTATGTAAGGAACTTGATCTCTCGGACAGTTTGCAATTATAGGCATGTGCGCAGCCATGCAGGTAACAATTCCTTCAGAGAATTCTACGCGCGTTCTTGGGAGCAAGTTCCATGGAGTTGGATGGATCTTACTTCTGCATCAACATACCTAAGCTTGCTAGTACAATGGTTTTAACCTCAGCCTCTGCTCAAGGCCATTAAAAGTTTGGCTGAATTATTCCTTTACTATCATGACTATATTTGTGTCACACCTTTCCCTGTAAAACTTTCCAAGGCAACAAACAACTATAAAACTAACTGTTTATTATGTAAAAACCAGGAGCAAAAAGCACTTATCCAACATATTAACTTTGTGGAGATGGGATAAAATGACATCCCTTTAACATTTAATACATGCGTCTCTAGAATACTATATTTGATTCCCTGGTCTCTTCTCCCTCGTCCAAAAAAAAAAAAAAAGTTCGGTCCTATACACGTTTTCTAAGGCTAACTCAATTGAGAATAAAGAAACTTAATTCTGAGTAGACATAGCAAACCTGAGCCACAATAAATTTGAATCTTTGATTCCATGTTGCTTGTGCAGCAGCGAGCTAATACGGCTATGGGAACGGAGTAGGGCTGCTGTTTGACTGAGCCCTTTGGAGACAGGAAAAAACGAGCTGGATGAGTATAATAAAATCAGATAGATGCCTTCCAATAAGTAATACTTCTAATAAATATCTCCCAAAGCTGCACATTATTTTAATATTCTTCTCTTATGGTTGTGTTGGCCATATAACAGCGACCCATTCATTTTGCCTTCTGGGTTGGGAAGAAATAACGTGATTTTTAAAATTTTAATCAATACTCATCATTCTGTTATAATTATTATTTAGCATGGGTGAGAGTGTGGCATCAATTTCCCTTTACGCTCGGGCAGTTAGTACTCAGGAGATTCGTGGACCTATAGAAGCAATTTTGGCTTCAATGTTACACACACTTACTTGGGCACAAGCTGCACTTAACTCAATGGGAATTACTTTGGAGTGGACATATAGAAAATACCATTCTAAGGAACCAAGCGGCTGTTAACCTGCTACTCCCACACCCTTGCAGGGCGCAGTCCTATGCATGTTTAGACAGAAAAGTCTTACAGTTCTCAGCAGTCATATTAGAAAATAAGGGCTGTTTTCTATCTAAATATAGATAGGATTGCTCCCTGGCTTTTCCAGTTTAATATTTTTCCTTCCACTGGGCTTTTACGCATCTAGAGAGCCCTCCACCTGCCTCACTTACCTGTGCCTTTTAACAGTTACTTTGCGCGCTCGGATGCCTATAGAAGGGTGACGAAAAAAACCGAGCTTCATAGCCCAGTTTAGTAAAGCGATCTATGGACACGGGCGAGCTTCACCACAGAGCCTTCAATTACGTACAGACACGAAAACTAGGAGAGGGAAGGAGACATAAAATATGCCTCGGTGCCAGAGGAAAGATGTGAATTTGTACAGACAATCAATCGTACCTCAAATGGCATCGAACACCCCGCTGCAGAACGAATTGCCAGCCAGACGGCCAGCGCGACGTGAGCGCGGAGCTAAACGTGTTACAAGAAAATCTCCCTGGGTCCCAATGGGCTTTCTCGCCGTAAATGTCCTCGCGCCCCGTAGCCTTAAAATACAGGATTCTCACTTGTCTTCAGTGGCACTGCAGCGTGACTAATGCCTTCTCCCCGTTGGCCCCTTTTGTCTCCATCAAAAAGAAGAGCATTTTAGAAAACAGTCTGCGCTTGCTGTACACCGAGAGCGGCATCAGAAATATCCGGCGCGAAAGGGATCGAGAAAAAGCAATTCACACTGAAAAATCTCTGAATTCGAAGTCAGGTACAGCTTCCGTCTAGTCCTAACCATGTAATAGACAGTAACTGAGATCACATTAAAAGAGATTGACTTCTATGTGCTTTGTTCTTCCAATTCACTACCATAAAGGTGCAATTGCTACGCCTGCTTAGACAGAGAAAAGTTTTACGGGTCCCAGCGAAAGGCCTTTTCCCCTGGCCAAATGTGCATAGGATTGAGCCCCAGAGCACGCAGAGTTGGTTGGATGGATGTTTTATGGAAATAAATGAGATTTTTGCAGCTGAAGACTGCGGTGCGAGCTCATAAGAGACCACCTTCCCTTGTTCCTTAGCCTTTTCTTTCAACAAGACAGAATATTTGGAGTGTTAATTAAAGAGTGACCTAGAAAATCAGAACTCTTCGTTAAAATGAAAC